TCTCTAAGCTTCCAGACTTCAAACTAAAGCCCACCTGCCCTCACCCTGGAGTCCTCTAATCTGCTCAACAGCAGCTCATGGTCACGGGGTTCTCTTGAGATGCAAAAACAGAGAACGGCAAGAAGTCCTTGCTCCAGGAGTCTCTCCAGCCCAGCCAGACCCTGGGGGACCCCTCCCATCCTGCTCGTGGCCCTAAGGCCTGCTGGGCTGAGCAAATCTGCATTATGTTCCTGTCACTGGCTAACTCAGCCCCCGGTTCCAAGCATTTCTGTGAGGGAATCTCCCGCGGAGAAATAAGCAGCTTTCCTGCAAATTTAGCGGGAGTGCCCTGCAGATGGTTCACAGGTGGGATTCTTAGGCGTGCACGAGGATCATAAATTGAGGGGAAAAGGTTAGTAGTCAATAAGAAGGAATCGCCTACGTGGAAATAAAGAGGAGGAGTAAGGAAACGGGACGAGGTTTCTTTAAAGATAAAGATGCCCCAAGTGCTTCGGGCTGGGGTTTGTGGAGAGAGCAGGTAGCTGCACTTTAAGATGACTACAATTATGTTTGTGCTTTACACTGCTGTTTATTTCTTGCTATTATTAAGTATACAGTACAGTTAGTTTCGGGGAAAACCACTTTCATGAGCTCTGCTAAGGAAAGCCCAAGAAAGAAGCTTTTATTTTTCATTATGTAAGATCTGTTTGTAATAGAGGAGGAGTAACCATAGAAGGAATTGGTGTGGTGGGTCAGCAGAAGGAAAGTGAGTGAGCCCAGTCCAGGGGACAGGGGGACAGTCAGGGGCTCTCTTCAGAATATTTGAAGAATTGTGGGCTTTTCCTCTATGATGGAGCCTATTACTTATAAGTAATCTCTATAAAGCTGATCTAACTGCGTAGTTCTAAGTCGATTCAATAGTACTGACCTTTCAAACCTTGATTCTCTCTCTCCCAGGATACCTCCCTTAAAACACAGTATTTGCTCCACACTTTTCCATGATGTATTCTGCTATCTCCACAGCAGGTAAAGTGCTCTCCAACATGCTCCTTCACAGGTATCTCTCATGTGGTTTTTGACTCGCTTAATCTCAGTCCTGGGGAACTATCTTCTAAACCACGTTTTCCTTTTCAAACACGGGCTCCTTGCAAATTCAAAATATTTCAGCGTCTCCCTTTAAATGGTCACAGTCCTGTTCCTCACTTCCTTTTCCAAAATATACACGCTACAACTTCCCTCCTGAAGGTCTGTTCTCTTGTCGCTGGCTTTGTTCCCTTCTCCACCAAGCGGCGCCATTTGGAATCAGCAAGTTCTCTTCACCTGCCCCCCTCTTTGTACTCTAGAGCCTCTTCATTCATCACCATCCACAGAAAGCCATTTCCATCCATAACATCTTCCAAACGATGCCGCCTCCCTTCCCCTGGCCCCACGTGGCTCTCGTGTTTTTCTAGTGGCTGGTTGAACTCTGCTTTGATCACATTCACATCCATGCTCACTCCAACCTTCCCCCAAATTTCCTTTTGTTTGGGTCTATCCACGTTTGAATGGAATTCTCTGAGAAAACGTGCATGCACCATATGTCCCTTAAGTACAGCTATGTCTAAGACTTGGTTAATCAAGTTATTAAACATACAGATTCTTTTTTTAGTCTCTTTCTGGGCCAAGAAAGCAACTGCATTTTAAAAAGTTATGCTACATGAAGAGCAGGTCAGATCTATTTTCTCCTGGTCAGTTTTTATAATATGAAACCTTCCAAAGAACCCTGGGAATCAGCTTAAATGCAACCACAGCAAGTACTTGGGTGCCTTTTAACACTGAGGAAGCTGCTGGGGCTCAGTCGCTTTGCTTCTACTACTCACTTTACAGCACTTTCCTACTTCAGGGAATAAGGTGATTGGAAGAAACACGAGCAGTCACCTACTTCTCTTCCCTGATCTCTAAAAACATGTAACGTCTTTCATGGTGCTTGGTATACCTAGCTCCCTTTCACATCTATTTCCTTGTTCACCTCTTCACGGATAAGAAGATATAATTAGTCACCATTCACCCTCTGCACAGAAATGTCTTATACGTGTTACTTTATCTTTTTAAATTTATACAAAACACCAAAAAGATGTCTTGGTGCAACAGCTATTTAAATATGTGGACAATTTTCTTATATGATGATTTTAACTATTATTTTACTTCCTTATTAGTTTCAAAAATATACAAAGGGTAAATATATAATTTCCAAGTTCTAAAACTTCGGTGTACCAACTGGAAAGACAGTGTCATATCTGGGGTAACCCCCAGTTATCCATTTATGTGCTGGGTGACAGTGCTTCAATCTTTCTGAATGTCAATACTATCATCTGCAAAAGGGAAAAATTGCTAAAATGGAATGAGTGCAATGAAAATTAAATAAGATGACATGTGTGGCAAAGACCTAGTAGTGTCTGACAGCTTTTAGACTAAATATCCTTCTTCATTTAATAGTTTAACAGATCCTAAATACTCGTACATCCATCCCTCATAGAAACCCACAACATGCCTCACGGCAGTCTCGCTCAATGCCTAGAGACAACAAAAGACAGGGGAAGGAGAGTCACCCCTTTTTTCTTCCCACCTGCCTATTGAGCTAGAAGATCTCATCTTATCACCTGCCTACCTTTGGACTAAATGGCACCATCAGCTGCCCTGGTCCCCAGTGTGCAGATGGCAGATTGTTTGACTTCCCTGTCTTCATAGTCATGTGAGCTCATTTCTCATAATAAATCAATCTCACCCTCTCATATATATTATATAAACAAATACAGAGGGTGCCAAAAAAATGTATGCACATTTTAAGAAAAGAAAAAACTGTATTAAAATTACGCTGATGGTCACCACTTAGAGCACCTCTTGTAATTGCAGAAGTCAAATGTGACTTGTATTCATCTTTTGTTATCGGTATAGATTGAGCATTACAATTTTAATAGTTTCTTCCTGTCTTAAAATGTGTATACATTTTTTTGGCACCCCTTGTATATATATTTTTTCTCTATGTAAATCTAATATAGGTTTTAATATAATTTATTTAATTATAAACTTATGCAAGTTGGTTTTTAGTAATGTCTCACAACCAGCTCATAACAGTCCTGAAAATGTAACAGTTGGCACTCACGAGCCAGCACTAGTTGTCTCCAACACACCACTGCCTATAATCCTTGTAGCTCAGGCAGTTTTACTATATGAAGCCTCTACTGGAGCATGAGGGGTGTGTGTGTGTGTGGGGGGGGGAGGGGTGCAGAAGGGAGTGGGCAATGCCTAAAGAAACCTTTTTTCCTTGGAGGAATTGGCTAGAAGTTTGTATCAGACAGGCGGACAGTGGAAATATTGATGAGCCATGCCCTGGGGCGGCAGCATGGCTATCAGTGACATCTGACAATGTGGCTTCAACTGTCACACTGGTAGTGCCAAACCCAGCAATAATAGTGATGCAAGGAAGGCAGACACAGCAACACCAGCAGTCACCAGCAGGCTTTATGGAAGGCTATTCCTTTCAAAGCCCAACCTTTAGAAGTATGGATGCCAGCACAGACATCCATAGAAATTTGAAGGTTTTTGGTTTTTTTTTGTTTTCTTGAGTAACTATTAAAAAGCATTTAGAGGGCTGGCTGAGTGACTCAGTTGTTTAAGGGTTAGCTTAAGAGCGCGAGCTCTGAGCAGCAGGGCTGCCAGTTCAATTCCCACATGAGCCAGTGACGCTACACCCAAGCTGAGCTGCCACTGAGCTGCCAACAGGTGGCAGGATGGCTCAGCTGGTGTAACAACAAGATTGCCTGTTCGATGGTGGGCTACGCCCACCCACAACTAAGACTGAACTCGGCACCTTGAGTTGAGCTGCTGCCCAGATGGCTCAGTGGATAGAACATGCACTCTTAACAACAAGGCTGCTGCTTCGACTCCCGTGTGGGATGGTGGCTATGCCCACCCTCAACTAAGATTGAACACAGCACCTTGAGCTTAGAGTCCACGAGCTGCCGACGGGCAGCCAGATGCAACTGGCGCCCTCCACAACGAAGATTGAAGAACAACAACTTGGCTGGTCCCCTTCCCCAATTCCCTAATTAAAAAAAAAAAAGTATTTAGAGAAGAAACTTCAGAGAGAAGTCTATTCCTCCTGTGTGACTGGCCTCAAGTCATTTCGTTTTGAGCATTAAAAGACTGAGTGACTTTCTTTCCTCATTGCCACATAGTAATGCCCGGCTCCCTGGGGCAACACTGTCAAATGACCAGTGGGAAATTTGTCTAATTACGTGAGGCTTTAACACCTGATACAAACCTACAACAAACCTCAAAAATATCCACTTTTGAAAATGACCACACAGGAAAGCCTCAACGAGTTGTGTTGTTTATTCATTCACATTATGGTTTATTAAATCAATAGATGAATAAAGCATTCCTTGATTGTTGAATTAAAATGTAAGCAATGTAGACTTCTCAAAATTCCTATTATATGTGATGGTGAAAGTATTACTCGTGATAAAATGAAAAATGTGTATATTTAATTAATCTTGATATGATATAGAAAACTACCACACTTCTAAGAACAGGGCTAGTAAAAGGCAGGAGTAATGTATGAACCAAAACCAAAGGCTTCACTCATCGAGTGGTCTTTTTTTCATGGGTTATAACTAATAAAATGAAAATACAAAGCACTTGTAATTTTTCAATTCTTTAGTAACTCTGCCTAATTCAGCCATACATTTTGATGTGTTTCAGTCAAAAGTTAATTTCTTTTGTTCTCCGAAGGGTAGAGCTAAGTAACAGTTTCACGATCCTTAAAAATATATAAAAGATCAGGTCTTAGAAAACAGGTAACTTCTCTCAAGACATCTACTTAATTTGTTGGCTAGACTGGTAAAAGTATAGGAAAGATAATGGCAAATGAAAAGCAAAATATAGGGGCTGGCCAAGTGGCTCAGTTGGTTAAGAACTCATTCAAGAGTGTGAGCTCTGAGCAACAGGGTTGCGGGTTTGATTCCCGGCCTGAGCTGAGCTGCCGCTGAGCTGCCAACAGGTGGCAAGATGGCTCAGTTTAAAAAAAAGAAAGAAAGAAAAAAAAAAGCAAAATATATCTAAAAGCAAAGATGAAAATACACAAGAAACTTGGCATTGTTTAGATTTCTTGATTCTTGTCCCGGCAAGTAGAATCTCAATGACGCAGATTTTTTAATTCACTCTCTGATTAAAAGAGAAAAAATATTTGGAAGCCATGGTTATTATAAATGACAAAATGTTATGTAATAATGATAATGAACATTTGTATAGAGTTTAAATAATACTAACGATCCTACTTAAAGACAATATCATTAGCTCCATTTTACAGGTGAGAAAACTAATTAAATAATTTGGCTTAAAGTCCCCCAGCTCCTACTGGGCGGAACTAAGGAAAGAACTGGCATTTCCTGACTCCAAGTCCAATTTTCTTTCCATGATACTAAATTGCTAATCTTGTCCCATAATGGGGCATGGCCACCTATTACTTGAAGCCTCTAAAGAGTCGAGTGGATATTTTTGAGATGCTGTGCCCCAGTCTCTGGGACAGAATTAGAAGATGGGCATAATTTTCAGAATTCCCTGCAGAGTGGATCCCACCAGGGTTTCAGTCGTGGTAAGTGGTGCCTTGTCAATAAATGAGTGATGCTCCTTCTCTATGACAATGCCGGTCCTTTCCTGAGAAAGTCGAGTCGATGGTGTATGAGTCTGTTATTTTCTTTATAATCTCTGTCCAGTTTCAATTCCAGAAAAGTTTCAAGAAAGAGGGGTAGGAATAACTTCTGCCATATAATTTATCCTGAGACTTTCCTCTATTTATGATTTTTTGTTGTTGTTACTACCATTTTGAGACTTGAAGACTATTTTTCACTGAAACAAATACCATATTCAAAACAAATGGGTTCCCTTGCTCAATTCATGTAGGATTGTATAAAACACAAAAATAATATGTCGATGATAGCTTATTGAGACACTTTAAAAGGAATAATTTTTTTTTCACCCATTTCCTCATCCCCTTCCCCTCTGGCAACCATCAGTTTGTTCTTTGTATCTGTGAGTCTGTTTCTGTTTTGTTTTGTTTGTTTGAAGGGGAATAAAATGAACAAACTTCCAATTATAAAATAAATAAATCATAGGGGTATAATGTATAGCACAGGGATTATAGTCAATAATATCATAACTTTTTAGGGTGACAGACTAGTTTTATTGTGGTGATCACATTGTAACGTATATAAATTTGAATCACTATGCTATACACCTGAAACTAATATAATATTGTATGTCAACTATATTTTGATAACAAAATTAAAAATAAAATACATTTTTTAAAAAAGAATAAAGTCACCAAATCTTACAATGTGTTCTCAAATGTTATTGATTTCCTGACTACCTTGCGAATTACAACTATCAGCTCTTAACCAAGACCAAAATTTACTCATCTCATCAATCCAGGGCTTTTAAAATAAAATTTTCTCTGATCTCAATTTGTATTAAATTCATTACTACCTAATAGAAATTTATATAATTTTTAGCACAGACTTCAGCAGTCCTAATTTCCCAGATGACAAATTAGACATTTTCTCATTAGTGTAATAGTATACATAGGACCCTGAGTTATTTATGTTCATGATTGTTTTTTTCCTTTCTGAAACTGAGTCATTTAAAAAATGTGTTTTAAATGTATTATAGAACTCAGTGGCACATCTTTCTCAAATCTGAAATAAAAGCAAGAAAGTATTTGAGAACAAAGAGAGAAAATAAAGGTCTTACGGGACGTGGTTCGAAGTGTCTTTTCCACAGTCAGCTTCAGGCTTTAACTGGCAGGTCATGGCCTCACAGCAAGGATCGGTGCATTCCTTGAAAGCACACACACAAGGGAAAAGTGGGTTCAGCGTTTTTCCCTATTGACTAGGTACATAGAATTCTGGTACAAGATGGCAATAAATTTCACTTTTTAAGCTAGATTACTCTGCTATACAAATTGCAGTGGAAATGACCAAAGAAAGTGAATAATAGAAAAAAAAAATGTTAAGCTTAATGAAAACTACCTCTTAAAAGGACAAAAATAGAACTATCCAAGAATCACCCCAAATAAATTTGGCCTAGATGGTATTATGTGTAAATTAATTTAAAACTTCAAGGTAGAATATTTCTATACTATTCAAACTGTTTGAAGATAGAGAAAAAATATTTTAAATCTTTGATTGTTTTTTTATTAAGCCTGCATAATAGTATACATAGAACTATTGATAATGAGAACTGGTAATGAATACATACACTTACACGCACACACATTATTCTCATTAATGAATATAAATGCAAAACCTTGAATGAAATATCAGTAAAATACCATTTTATTAACGTAATAACTCTTTATTACAACTATGCAAGGTTTTTCTTTCACCAAAAATGCAAGGTTGTCTCAACTGTACAGAATAAAGTAACATAATCCATCATATTAAGAGATTGAGGGGAGAAAAACAACTATTATTGTGATAGATGGAAAAAATTACTCGGTAAAAACCCAGTAGCCATTATTAAATTATTGAGGCATATATAACAAAGTATGAACAGAATTATGTATCACCATGATAAAGAAAATCTATCTAATAGTAAAAATATATCCAATAAAATAAGGGATAAGACAGGATTACTTACAGCCTATATTTTTATAGAAATTCTGACAAATGTTGTGAGACAAGAAAAAGATATGAAAATGTAATAATTGGAAAGCATATATCACATTTTCATTATTTGTATGTGAAAAAATTCTTGACCTGGAAAAACCAGAGGATCAATTCTAAAAATATTGGGTGAGTCACTAAGATAGCTGTGTAAGACAATAATCGAATAACATAAAAAGTAATAATAAATTAGAATCTAGAATAAAAAAGAAAACATTACACATACTAACAGCAAAAAGAAAAATAGAAAATGCCCCAGAATAAACTTTCAAAATGTGCCAGAATTAGGTGAAGAACTTTATATATAATTTTCCTGAGAAACTTTAAAGGCAAGTTGTCTCTTAAAACAACACTTAATGTTGTGAAAACACCAGTGGCTTCACAGTGAAATATGAATTTAATGCATTTCAATCAGATTCTCAATTGTATTTGTGGGCAAGCTGACAAAAAAAAACAAAAAAACACCACATGAAGAGTTATATGAGGAATTAACATTGACGAATTGCTATGCAATTCTTATCAATAAAGAGTGTTACCATTAAAGATATTAAAATGCATTGTACAGTTACATTCATTAAAATAGCATGATGCTTGTGTTATAATATCTAGACAGATAGAATATTTTTAAAACCTAGAAAAATACCTAAATATTTACATAAAAATAATAAAGTGGCATATCAGATCATGGGAAACTGGATTATTCACTAACAGATACTATATAAAGTATATATCTAATACTACATATGCCATTTGCCTGCTGAAGTTAGAAGTACTACGATTATGAATAACTTCAACTGTCTTCCACCTAATAAACCATATGGGAATGTAAGCAGCTAAGAATGAGATAAACTTAAATATAACTTATTATGAAGTATTAAATCATTTGTAAAATTTCATATCTCATTATAAATAGAATATTTGCAATGTTCTTTATAAATTATTAAGTTACACCATGTAATGTTCTAATATAAACAGCTTAATATTTCTGAATAAATAAACTGAAGCACAGACAGATTATATGCTTTTCCTTTTTTAATAAGGCCTCTTAAAATAATGGATAAATCTTGGGTTTTAATGGGTTTCACCAATTACCATAATACCTTTCTATTATATTACCTTTGGAACTAGTTCCTTAAACTTTTCTGAGTTTCACTGCTTCTTCTCTAAATTGGGATAATAACAAAATATGTTTTGTAGGTTTGTTGTGTGTAATGAAAGAGATGATGTATATAAAAGTATTTTGCAGGTTGACATAGAAAATCTCTTCAAATATTAACTTATTTTCTTAGAGTAACAGAAGACTGCTAAGAAAATAGAACGCTCTCTTTTAGAAACCTAGTATGAGATTGTTAGCGAATATTCTCAGAGACGTAGTTTAGGGTACACCAATGCCTTGAAGTGTTCAGATTTTACAAATATTAGCAGAATTATAGTAATTATCTTAGATGCTCTATGTTAATAACCCATTTTCTACAGGTTTATATGATTTTTCTTTTTTTCTCCTTCTCCACTTTATTTACTGCCTGGTTTACACATTAGCTTGATGAGAAAAGAACCACTCTCCCTATAAAGAGAACTTACTTCTAGATCTGTAATTGTTATTACTAAACAAATGATCAACTGTGACTTTATGTGGGTTAGGAATTTCTAGCTAATAAATCTAGGACAATCTTAAGTGACACGTTGTAGTTATTGATTTACTTCTTTCCATTGAACTTCATACAGTTGTATCATAAGCATACCCTGGCTTTTGAAATGCTTTCCAAACGATGACCTAGGTCAGTACTAAAAACACAAGTGCAAATCTACTTTTTACTATGATGTGAAGCTTGCCTTTGGAAAGAATTTCCAAAACAACTTGGTGTTTATTGTTGTTTTTAAAGGAAAAAGAAAACAGAGAGCTGCAATGACTCTCTAAGAAATTTTTTAAACCATGGATATTTTTATACCTTAAGAGAGCCACAATCACAGTCTTCTCCCACTTCCAGAAGTTGGTTCCCACACACTGGTTTTGTTATTTCATTTTTAGGAATCGCTGCTTGCAACAGGCACTTTGGTTTTTGGGATAAAATGTATCTTTCAAAATGTGCGCGGCAGGACGTACTGAAATCCTTTGGGAATTTTGAACTGTGACCAGAAGGAAAATGAGAAATACCATGATATACAATGATAAATGAATACGAAAGTCTGACTTGTCTAACAGTATTACTTAGTTTAGTGGAAATTCCAAATTTTGTCTCTGTTCAGGACTGTACTGCATTATATGTGGGGGGGGGGGCGACAGAGCATGACTACTAGGCTGGTTAGAAAACTGTTTTCCTAGACACCTAGTTGTAGAGCTGGAAGCATTTAAATTCCTTTGTGGATTCAGCACTGTCCTAATTGGCAGCAGTGATGAGCTTCACCATTTGTTATCATTAAGGGTTGAGAGCTAAGCGATAATAACAGTGAACTAGTGAAAGGAAATAATTGCAGACTTAGAGGTTCTGTGGCCCTCTATATTTCTCTTCCTTCAAGAGCAAGTATGTTTTATTCATTTTTTTTTTAATCCCAAATCCTTGCAAAGTACCTGGCATTAGAAGGTAGTTACTAATAACATAAAAAAGATTAATTGATTAGTGTTGGGAATAGCTGTCATCATCTTGATACATACTTTCAGAAAATAAATTATTTAATGTTAAATTAATTTAAGTTAAAATAACATGGTCACTATACTTATGCGCTATCTTGGTGTATGTGTAAGTCCTAAATAATGAGCCTAATGGCTGGTAAAATTTGTGCATCCAGAGATTGGAGGTAAATTAATGGGATACACAGCCCTTTGTAAAAAATGCCCATCCAGCTATATAGACTACATCTGAATCCTTTAAGATTTAAGCAATATTTTCCCCCCTAGGGTGACAAGGTCTCACCTCAGATATTGATTCATCACACAACTCCCAGAGGGACACTTGGTGTTATATGGAATATCAGGCATACCAAGGACATGACCCAACTCATGTGACATCACTCCTACAAGAGCCACATTGTTCTTTTTCTTAGCCTGAATAAAATAGAAACATCTATTACTTCTTTGTTTATTCAGTTAATTCTTAATTGTTGCCAAAGTTCAGTGGTAAAAATAAAATAGTTGGACAGATAAAAATAGTCATTAATTTCCTTCCCCTGCCATTGGTTATTGTAAAATATTCAATAAACATTTGAAATGATTGACTCCTGTGAATCAAACCACTGAGTCAGTACTCAACAAATATTTCCTGAACTAATGATAAGTCCTCAGTAAACCATGGTTAAATTAAGGTATATACATTCTTCATAGGAAGTACTAAAAGATACCATACTATGTACTCAGAGGCCTCCAAAAGCTATTGCAATCATTCCATTGACATTGGTAGTGCTTGGCTATATCACACCGACATACACCCTGTCTGATCTTTCTGGCCATTGATACTGGGGATGATTAATTTGAAGTTGGCCCAGACCACAGAGGGCACCTGATTCCCTTTATCTCCCAGTCTTCCTGCTCTTACTCCATAACACCAACTTTTGGGAGAGTCAATGTAAGGAAATATTCTGTTTCATAATCCAAAGAATCTTCATTGTAATGGTCTACCAGTAATTTCATTTCTATTTTTTTTTTTTTACTAACTCAGCAAATGTTCATAGTGCTAACTTTATAAGGCATTCTGTTGGTCTTCACAGAGGATGTAGAACCACAGGGAGACATACTGTAAGTTTACAAACCTCAATAACAGCAATTGAAGATGGAGAACACAAGGAATTCGACGCTGCTATTCCTACACGTCGATTGTTGAAGCCAATTCCACTGTGTGAAAGTTATAGGTACATTGTCACAATCTGAGTCTTTGGAACCATTAGCTTTTGTCAATCGTGTTTTAGATTTTCCCTTTTGTCCTAATCTTTTTCTATTTACTAGGCCCCAGAAAAGCTTCTGCTATTCCATAGCATTATAATGACCACAGATGGTTATCCCACATCCAAGAGTCCATTTTAGTAATGTGCCATGGGTCTCTCATAATGTCACAGGTGAACTGCCAATGTTAGAACTTCAGGCTCTCTGACAACTCATCGGGGAGATATAATTGAACATAATCTCTACCAAGAAACCTTTGGAATCACTATCCACTCCAGCTGCCTTTGCTTGGCCTTGACCTGCACGTGCTCACCTGAGTAGCTGAGTATGATCATGGAGCTTCAGTTTTCTCTGGTTAGAACGAAGCCATTTCAGAAAGTTGTTATAGGTGATGCCTATGTTGGGTACCACATTTATCTTATCGCCATCAGACCATATTTCAAGACCTGCCAAGGTCACTTGAACATCTATGGTGTTATAAATCTGTGGGAAGAGCATTTTCTTCATAAATTTTTTTTTTTTTTTTTTTTAGCTGAGCCATCCTGCTACCTGTTGTCAGCTCAGCGGCTGCTCAGCTCGGACCAGGACTCGAACTGCTGTTGCTCAGAGCTCAAACTCTTGAGTGAGCTCTTAACCAACTGAGCCACTCAGCCGGCCCCTTCATAAAATTTTTTGAGATTTCTTTAGTGTTTTAGATCCTTTGCTGACCACAAGTAATGGATAAATGTATCCCATTTTGAAAATAGAAATCCTAGAAGTTGCTTTTGCTACAGTATGTTTATCCTTATCTGCTAAATTTCCCAAACTTGTCAGCCTTAAGCCATTTGACCCTCCCAACTCCTTATTTGGTGAGCTATAGGGAAGCCCCAGGGTTCCATGTGAAAACACATGTTTATAGGGACAGATATCTTACCACGTTGAGTAGGTTCATCACATCAAATATAAAACTTCTTATCAAAGTTAGATTCCTGTTATACATGTTATACTGTAAAATACAAAATGCAAAGCATAATTAAAGTAGCAAGTTCAAGTGAAAAAGCTAGTAAGACATAGGAGTTCACATTTTTTAAAAAATCACACATTTCAATGTAAATAAATGTCTATTTATTCCATGTCTTCCTTATATAAAACTCTGTTTCAACAAATTCTATTCCAAATGTAAGAACTTTTTGGTAAGAGAAAAATTAGGCATTTATGTAAAATTTCAATGTTTTCTACTTTTACATTGAATAAATCAAATTGATAATTTCAATGTTTTTAAACCAATTGAATAATATCAAAATTTGATTATAAAGCAATATTTGCTCATTAGAAGCACAGATTCTAGCAGTTTTATAAATGTAACTTGTGGTTTATATATAGTTTTGTATCTGTATGTATATGATATAGTGAGAATTTAAATATTTTAATAATCAATTCATTTTTGTTTTTTTATTATTATAGTTGACTTCCTGTAGTTATCTGGTATTAAGTATATTTCCAATATCTGGATATTTTGGCAGCAGATGGATATTAAAGGGTAAACAAAACTTACTACTATCAGGGCATGTAGAACACATAAGACAATCTGGTGAATGGGCTCCGTATTTTCAGCCAAAATAGTTTATTGTTTGTGTTCACTTGCTAAGAAAACTTAAAAGTTGCCTGAACTGGCCAAGAAGCACACATATTCATACTCACGAAAGCATTGTCCAGCACCAAGAAGAGATCAATGTATTTCTCAGCCCGAAGAAAGTCTTCTTGCTATACAAAGAGAAAAAGAACACTGTTACTAATTATCTTGACCTGAAAAGATTGAAAAGCTACAAAGAGATTTGGCTTTTTTTCTTCAGAGGCAAATTAAATTGAAGAAGTCAGTGTGTGGGCTTTACCTATACCAGTCAGTGCTGAGCACACCTGTTTAAGATATATCATTGTTGAGACAACTGAATAAAAGGAAAGCTACACTCACCTCTGGGCTTTTGAGTGACCTAGGGTTTCGAATGAGGTCACGTCTCCTGCCAGCATTTCTTACACCACAGGTGTGATTAGCTGGGTCTAGCTCCTCCTGGTCATATGTGAGGACAGCATGTTCTTCTTGGTCTGTGCTTTTCAGGGGCTTTATCATATATCTTTGATTCTGATGTGTGAAGTAACCCCTGTGAGATACAGAGACTCATATTTGAGGGTTTTCGGCCACAGAGTCACATATACTAACCAGAATAGAGTGACACCTCTTCCTCCATCCCAAGCTCACACATACAGTTTTCATTCATAGGCTTTTGGGTAACTTCTGCTAACGTAAGTTATTATCAGTATTTGTCAGTACTAAAATGAGCCTATATTATTTACCCAGAGAATTGTAAACAAGAATTACTAAGATGAAGCTAGCCCCCAAAATTTGGAATTTCTATCATGAGCTCAGTAAATATTTGTCCATAGTTTATTTATATATTTAGAAAATATTTCTTGCCAACTCCTAGGAATATAATGGAAAACAAAGCAAAGGAGTGTGCCGATACCAAGAACCCCAGAGGAGAGAAAGAATGAGGAGCAGATCAGCCACAGGAACCGTTTGGAGCGAGTAGCTTAAAGAATTCCCCCTCTTAGTAAGAAAATTTGTCCAGAAATATCAAGTGAATCCATATGATGGAATATTACAAAGCCAACATAGCCATTAAAAATTATACCTATGAAGGTATCTTATAATACGGAAAAAGGCTTATGATGTCACGTGGCATGAACCATGTTGGAAGGACAATTATGTGTATTTTATTTCATATTTCAACCATGTGAAATACAGAGTTGCCAAAAAAACATGTATACACATTTTAAGAAAGAAAAAAATCTGTATTGGGGGCTGGCCGAGTGGCTCAGTTGGTTAAGAGCTTGCTCAAGAGTTTGAGCTCTGAGCAACAGCGGTTCAAGTCCCGGCCCAAGCTGAGCAGCCGCTGAGCTGCCAACAGGTGGCAGGATGGCTCAGCTAAAAAAAAAGAAACAAACAAAAAAAGAACTGTATTAAAATTATAATACTCAGTATATATCGGTCACAAAAGATGAATACAGTCACTTTGACTTCTGAAATTCCCAGAGGTGCTCAAAGTAGTTATCAATCAGCATCCAGACACTTCTGGTTAGGGCGAACTACTGCTTGAGCAATGTCGACCAAAGTGTTAACATCTCTTAAAATGTGTATACATTTTTTTGGTACCCCCAGTATATTTGCCTATATGTATACAAGGCTGCAAACATGACAAAATGTTCGTAATACTGATCATGTGGAGGTAAAATTTCATGGTGATTATTTTCTTATTAGTGCTTTTTCTTACTTTCCAAAATTTCCCTAATTGATAAGAATTATCTCTGTAAAGAGAAATACCACACACACACACACACACACTTTTAAAAATTATGTTTCACTATGACAATTGCAGAATAGAATCTTTAAGAAAATAAAACAATGTTTTCAGTGAGTGGGGTAAATAAACGTGGAAATGGATTAAGATATTATCAAGGTCTGGAGTGCAGTGTAGCATTGTGTTTAAATATTGCGATGACTACCTTGGACTAGAGCAGGTTATAAAATGATTGCAAGGGTGATACTTCATTCATCTTTTTAACCACATATATTCAGCATTTTAGGTATAAAGATAGTAAGAAGACGTGATGTCCAGGAAGACTCACTCTGTGTAACAAAATGGTGCTTAATGTTTAACACTTAGGGGAATAATTCTCACCTCAACCCATTACAAGTACAAATGCTGGCAACAGAACCCTTTTCATTCAGGATATGTCCTTTATAGTAGCACTGTTCCTAAGGTTGGGAAAAAAAGAAGGAAAATAATTAACTACAAGAATAAATGTATCACTGTTGTGGTGAAGGCTGTTATCTTAAATATGTAGGAAAGTTCTTTGAGTAATGGCTGTGGCCAAACCAGTTTCCAGAAACAAAAACAGCAAGAGTCTCAGAGGTTTTATGAACTGCTCCACCACTGACCCTGGAAGCTCTCCATATTGGATGGCTCACCTGTTTTTCTGAATTAATTCACACTAAAGGAAACTCCAGGGAGGTTGAACCTAAGTGAGCTCATGATGAAAGTGGACGTTGCATCTGAGAAGCAGCCAGTTCCCCAGGGACCCACAGTACTCTGGGCAACTCTCAGATTTGAAGGTCAGCTTTGGAGAATGTGGCTGTCTTGTGCTGAGTCCCTAAGACACTATGCATCACATATCCATAAAATGGGATACACATTTTTCTAGATTCTAGAGTCCTCAGAGGGTCACACTACCACTGCTTAGCTCCTCATAGTAACTGGTTCAACTCACCATTTTAATTGGTGTGTTAGTGGAATATCTTTACCAGCATAAAAAAACCCAAAGAATTTGTCTACAACTAGAAATTCAGATATGGTTGGTGTTCCATAAAAGCAAAGTAGAGGGTCACTTATCTAGAATGATCTAAGAAAGTTAATGAATAACCTCTTATTCAAAATAAACTGACTTGTTTGAGGGCCTGAAATTGCATCCATGTTTTTCTTTCTTTTGGAAGAAATCTTGTTATTATAGACATTTTCTCATAGAAGACTTGGAAAAGGTACCACATTAAAGTATTATCAGTCATTCACACTTGAGTATGAATTAATTTATCAGATATTTTTCTTGGAAGTCAATGTTAGCAAAAATCCAGATGTCCATGAGATGAGAATTTTGATGTGAGAAAAAAGAAAAGAGCCATTTTGTGGCAGAAGTCTTGACTAGTTTTCATAAAGACATACATATTTGGGGTGTCATAGAGGGTGGCTGTAAGAAGCTCACTTAGCTTGGTAATAATCTGTGATTAAGCCTTTTTATACTCTCTTTCTGTTCTTCCTTTGGCCTTATTTCTCCATGTCTGACATTTAGGTCTTGGCATTATCTATAGGTTAGTAGTTTAACCAAATATAAAATTATATTAAATAATTGTTATTCCATTGCTAAACTCAGAATAAATACATGTATCATCAGAAAATAGTAAGTAGTGACATGATATTTCAAATACCTATAGGGCAAAATATTTTTAACCTATTGATAACATGGTCTAGGGAAAAGTGGACTTTTGGTTGCTTAAAAAAATGTAACATTTGGAAGTCTCCTAGCACTCCTACCTTTTTAAAACACTGACTGATTTTTCGCCTGTTTTCTCATTGATCATAGATGAGTACCTTGCTTTCAAGTTCTTAAAACTTTTTTATGTTGTTCTTCAACCTATGACTGTTATGATGTAAGTGGTAAATTTCAGAAGATCCCACCTACCACATTCTGAGGGCTTGTGGTGATTTTCTCTGCTCTGGGTGAGTAATAAGTTTCAGTGTAGTCTTGCCCCAGGAGATGCCTGTAAAGAGCAAAAAGTTGCATGATATGCTTTCTGTGCTGTAAAGGCTACTATTCCTGTCATGCTCTTTAGCACTAATGGAATGATTATACCTACAATGAGACCCACTGATCCTTTTCCAACAATGGAACTCTGCTGCTGAAGAAAATCAAAGCATTATTTATACCTGAGGGATCTGAGTGAAGAAATGCCCTCAGCTACTTTTTAGCTGAAGGTTCTCTATCTTTGAATGGGTTATGTTTGGAGTCTTTGCATCAAGGATACAGCCTCCACAATGTCTCTGAAGGGTGCTGGGTCACAAATAAGCATCAAGGACCATTACATTCAGAGAGAAGTTTACTGACTTCTATAGAACTTGGAGCAGCCCCATGCCCTGGGTTCTATCTCAAGGCTGTGTGCCTGAATGGGCCTTGGACATGTGTTTCTATAAAAGTAATGGAAAGTCACATCAAAGACTTGAGTTTATCTGGGTAAAAAAGATTTTCAGTGGTCCAGCCGAGTGGCGCATTGGTTAAGAGTTGGCTTGGGATGCCAGCTCTAAGCAGCAGAGCCCGGGGTTCGGATCCCACATTAGGGCAAGTAACGCTGTGCCCTCTACAGCTAAGATGGTGAACAACAGCTCGACCTGGAACTGGGCTGCCATGAGTCGCTGGCAATGGCATAGGCTGCAGTGGAGCTGCAGTGGGCTGTCCTGAGCTACCCTTTGTGGCTGGCAGCCAGTGTGAGCGGCCGGCAGCCAGTGTGAGTTGCCAAGAGCCACCATGAGTGGCCGTCCAGTGGCTGGTGCCCAATCTGCCTCACCCAGGAAGAGCACAATGATAATACCAACATGGGCCAGTGAAGCGACGTCCTCCACAATTAGACTGAAGAACAAAACGACAGCAACTTGTCTGTTCCCCTTCCCCGATTTCCCAACGCTGTTCCCCTCCCCCAATTCCCCAATAAAATCTTTAAAAAAAAATGATTTTCAGTGAATTCCAAGAAGCATCAAGGAAGATAGTTCTCTTTGTTTTACACTTTGCATATAATTTTCTAGAAAAGCATCAACTTTCTTAGATAACATTAGCACAAACTAACCCAAAACAACTAAAACTCAATATACTTCATGTCTTTTATCTCAAATCACACTAAGAGAGTCTCGAAGTTTATTTTTCCACATTCTCAATATAATCCAGTGATTAAATTTTTGGAAGGTACAACTTACTTGGTTTTTTGTAAGCAAAGAATGACTTCTTCTCCATTTAATATAATCTGGTACTGAAGTTCAGGCTCATATCTCTCCTAAAAATATTTAAGACTATTATGATATCAATTTATATTTCTGAGTCGATCTAAAATTTATAATATAATGATATATGTAGTATATATATAAGAATAGTTACGAATGAGTGTAAAATAAAAGCAGCTCTTTTATGCCTTTAAATATGTAAAATAAAACATAAATTGTATATTTAGATGGATTTCCCAAAAGTATAATAACATGAAGTTAATGCTTACAGATTGAACTAACTCTAATATATGAGCTAGGAACGAATCATTTGCTCTAATGTACAATATACAGTCCTGTGTATCCTAATGGATCACTAATGGAAGAATAAGAAGGCATATACTTTTATTATGTAAAAACCAAACCAAATATATGAAAGAAAACCAACCAAAAACCTACTAAGAATTAAATAAAGTAAAAATTATAAAGTGTAATAGTCGAAGAGTTAATATTTTTTAATAAATTCTTAAATCTGTTAATTAATGAGAGAACGTTGAATTTTCCATTATAGACAAAATGGCCCAGGCAAAGACCATTCAGTGAGGGCAGCGGACGAGGGAAGGGGGAAGACGTGGGTTTGGTGACTTGGTATGGAGCATATATTTCAAAAATGGCTGCCTTTCCTGTGTTCCTTCCCCCCGTCTCACCCCCCCCGACCTCTGCCCCAGAAACTTGGAGAACCATCCAAGAAGCTTTATTTTTTTGTGTGATCAAATGAGGCAGTTAACTTACTTTCTTCTGCTTAACTGTAAAAGCATTCTGAGAAATCCTTTGCTCTCTCCTGGATGAAGGGGAGACCTGTATATATGGGCTTCAATGTTAAACTATTAGATGTTGACTGTGATATCACTTCTATTAGTAAAATGGCTCTTTACTGTCTCTTATGATGATGGGGAAATCTCAGTCATTCACATTACTTACCTCTTTGGCTTGCTTCTCTGTCTGGTTGTCCTGTGTCTCTCTTTTGTGCAAAATGTGTAGTTTTTTAGGATGAACTACTTGATAGGCTTCTAATTCAGGTGTTTGTTTTATGGCTATTGCTAGAAAAAGAGATAATATTGATATAAATGTTGAAAGGATTTTGTTTTGGTTTTGGTTGGTTGGTTTGTTGAAATGGCATGGAGGAGTGAATTCCCATGGAGAAGGTAAGCATTAAAAAGAACAAGTTCTTGCTTCTACTTGAACTTTGATAATAAAGAATTTTTCTTTTACTCTCCACCCCCTTCCCCCACTTCTGGAAAGACATGACAATGATGAAACAATTTTGTTGATGATCTTTCAATATATGTAAACCCTAGGCCACCATGCCCAGAAGAGATAGGTGTTGGATTAGAACAAAGATTATAGGATCAGAAAGTCTGCCTGTAGTAATCCAGTTTCCTCTTCTTCTATAGGCCTCCTCAAATTTATGAATTTTTCTCTCATTGTCCTCAGAGATCTCTATTTTTCCTTTTTATGTCTTTCCCTCTCTGTGACACAATCCCTGATTACCCCCTTCCCAAATGAAATTGTTCATATACAGATAATACTTACTTCTTAGGAAAGACTCTACTGTGTTTTTTATTTCTCAGTGTAATAAACCATTATGTTCTTTCTTACATTCGCATTTGCCCTAAAAACTTCAGATTTCAATGGAAATAAAGTTTTTTGTTTTCCTATGCTGGAACAATTTTAAAGCATCAGAGAGAAAGTAGAAAAATTGTCTTTAGACTACATGTCCTTTTTGATCACTTGGAATTACACTGCATAGACAATTTTCTATTATGTTTGCATATAGTAGGAAAAGAACTGATACTGAAGCCAAAATATGTGATCTTAAATCCTACCTACATGATCTTGTAAAAGCCACTTTACCTTTCTATCAGTTTACTTACCTAAAATAAAGGTTGGTGTAAAAATTGAATAGCATAAAATATATAAAATTATTTAACAGCAGTCTAGGGAGATGGCAAGCATACCTTATCCATTTTTTCTTTTAATTGTTCAATCATCCACATGAAGTCTATCTTATTTTTAAATATTCCAATTTTCACAGATAAGTATCTATGCTTAGAGACAGTTTCCCACTCAATGTGACAGACAGTGTGACTTTGGGGACACCAAACAATTCTATACCTGGCTGACATGGAGAAACTAAAAGGAAACACTAAAGCAAAACAAAAATCTCTTCTAATCAACTCCTAAATTTCTGCTGTGATGGTGTCCTGAGAAGGATGTATTACACATATGAAAAAAGGAAATGTATAAATATATTACTAAAAGCTCTTTACCAAAAAGAATGTGAATCCCATTAGTGGAAAGAGTTGTAGGGTTGAAATTAGAGTGAATTTTAATACTTTCTAGTCCCAACTCTAGTACTAACTATTCAGCTGGTCAATTAATTTTTAATTTTGCTTAATAATATAATTAAGTTTAACTTAAGTCTAATTTTACTTAAGAGTCTTCCTTGTCATCTACCCTAGCTCAGCCTTTGGATAAATCATGTCTTCAGGTGAATGGTTGTCTTTTTGTAGGGTAGGAAGTGTCAATGCCATTCAAGAGAACACTGGAGATGGTTAGGAAATTCTTGAAATCTGGTCTCAAACTTAATTCTCTGGTGTCATCAGGGGCTGTGTGTTTTAGAAAATAAAATGATAGAACTTATAGAATTATTGAATGAGGGATAACATTTCAGAGACATCTTAACTAAATTATTATGCCAGTCACAATGCCTTGATGATGAGCATGGAGTTTATATAAATTGAGTAAATACATCAAAATGCAAGCAGTAGTGACATTTGGATCATGTGAGCAAGTCATTTTCTTAAGGGTACTTTAAAAATGCATTAAATAATTTGACTTTTGTATAAATGTCAATATAGTTATGCTTACCTTCAGTTTGTAAGAGGAGCCAGAGGACAGAAAGCAGGACCAAAGCCATGTTGGCAACTGCAGGTCGATAAGAAGTCCCACACAGCATGAAGATGTGGTCCCCCAGCTATCTCCCAGTTTTATCTTCCCCTGTTTCTCTTCACAAATTGAAAAAGAAACGAAAATCCTCAAACCTTATTTATGAGATTGGAGAATGTTTCCTAACGGTGCTGGGAAATTGCAGTGTCGAGATCATGGGAATGTTCCTTATTGGTGAGAGGTGTTTATGTCTGTGGTTATGGTCTATTAAGGAGCCACATCTGGACAGCTGCTTGGCCCAATTTTCCTATAACAGAGGGAAAGTAACTTAGATGCCCATGTACACATTTGCATATATCACTATTGATGTTCACTAACCTTACAGAAATTGATGTACAAAGTTAGAAAATACATCAGCAGTCTCTACATTTTTTGAGCAATTGACACGGGGAATACAATCTATAAAACAAGTACCAGGCAAAGTCTTATGAGCTACCATATTGTAATCTCTCTGATTCTCAGTCTCTTTTTCTGTGAAAAGGGGATGATGATAATAATACCTACCTCAAGCTTCTTACAAAATTCATGTAAAGTAACACTCACACACACACACAGAACTGCAAAGAAATGTGCAAATGTAAATTCTCTTGACAGTGTTAGCCTCAAACAAATTATACTGCATATGAAGTATGTTTGAAGTGCACTATGAGTTAGTTCTACTGCAGGAAAATAATATTTTTCTGATTACAAAAATAATATATTTTCACGGTCATAAATATCAAAAGAGTATACTGAGAGAAAACAAGTTGATTGCTCAATGGCCCAACATCAAGAAATGACTTTTGTTAACATTTTGATAGTTTATTTTTATCTCTTTTCTATGCACTAATAAAAGAAGAGAATAAAAGAAAATTAAATATTATAAACTTTAGTTTTTATTGTATAAAGGTTTTGGGAACCTGTTATTTTTTTGCATAGCATTATGACATAAGCATTTTCGTGTTGTTGAATATTATGGCATTATTTTAATGACTTTAGAATATTGCCTTGTATGTATACATTATGTGTGTCTCCGTATGTGTATATTTCTTTGATTTCATTCCTGATTATTTCTTTTGGATAAGTTACTAGAGTGGTATTAGTTAGCTTAAAAAGATAAATCAGTTTGAGGTTCTTGGTATACATTGACCTGGTACTTCTTAGAAAATTAGTGCCTAATTATGTTTGCATTTATAGAGTTTTCCCAATCTAAAAATCTATATTTAACTATTGAGCTTATTTTTACTTAAACATTTGGGAGTTTTCTAGCATCTGATTATAAGTTTTACAGTTACTGCTTTATGTCTACATGGTTTTTTTGTTGCTGTTCTTCTTTTATGCTCTTTTGAGTCAGTTACATTTTTCTCTATAATTTTATATGTCTTTTGCTGGTCCAGAAGATGAACATTCTACATATATCCTATAGTGGTTACCATTAAATTTTAACAAAATATGATCTTAATTAACATTTCTAACAAATAATACAAAACTTTTGTCAGCATCTCACCTTTTGCCACTTTATGTGTTGTTGTCAAGTATTTTAGCTCTGCCATAATTTTCACCCCCAAGTTAGTCATGATCAGTAGTTTTGTGTTCTATGCAGATGATCTATTTGGAATTAATCACATGTATACCACTTTCTTTGCTCACAGGTCCTTTTAGAGTCAGCCCTTTCTTAAAAATATATTTCCTTTGTGAAACATGTTCTTTGATAACCCTTTATTAAAGTTTTCTTAGAGTAAGTACTTCCATGTTTTTATTTAAATTTTTTCTGAGTATATTTATTTCACCCTATTCTTTACTGGTAGTTTAGCTGGCAATACAGTTTTGGGATGGTAATTAACGTCTCTCAGCATTTGGAAGCTCTCTTACTATCTTTTGGCAACTGTTCAAAATTCTGCTTTCAGTCTATTAAAGGGAAGTTAATTTTACTTATTAATTATATAAGCAGTATGCAAGGTAAGTTCAGTTTTTATTGAGATCATGTTAAATCTGAGTTTATAATAAGTTAATACTAGTTTATATTAAATTAATATAATTTCTGGGCATTCCAAGATAACCATGATACTACCCTTATTATTGAGATATTCCTGCAAGAAAGACTAATAATTGAGATAAGTCCACAGACAGCTTATACAAATGGTAAACATCATGACTGACGTTTGTGCATTGTATTCAGGTACATTTTAGAAGCATATCATTTGGTGAGTGACAGAGTCAGATAATATTAGCTGGAAAAGAAATAGGGAAATGGATATTCTTGTGAGAGAAAAGCTATATGAACAAAGCCATAAGTATGTAGAAAATCATAATATGTTCATAGAACTACAATGTGTTCTCCAAAGCTTGAATATAACATAAAAAGTAATAGGTATATGAGTAATAGGTAAAGCTTGTAAGATATGTATGGCACAAGTTACGAAGAGACAAATGCTAAAGGCCTTAAAGACATCTGAAAAATATTTAGCTCATAAAATTGTCCAACTTGCTGACTGGACGTGGTAAGTGAGGGAGACAAAGAAATCTGGAATGATTTCTAAGGTACAGCTTGAACTGTAGGCAACTTATAGATGACATCTTCCAATTTGGTCCATTGATAGGACTTGCACTTTAGTCAGCCCTTTAAAAGCAGGAGACATATCTACTGGTGTATGTACACTTCAGGAACACAGTACCTTGAAGATTAAAGATGTTCAAAAATATTCATTGAACATTTGCTCTGTGAAAGAAGTTGGTAAACTGAACTATCTTCCTGGGATACTGATGCTGTTTATTAGATAGTTGACTATCAGTCTATAAATTAAAACAGTGGAAATAACAGTGAAGAGATTGTTTACTTGGTGCATCTGGAGGGAATGAGGAATGGTATACATATGGACCCTTATGAGTACAATATCCAAGGACTGACTAAACACAGAGTTTAATTTATGATCATGAAACTAAGAAATCATGGCCAACATCCTGACCACAGAGAATTTTATTCCCATAAAACTTACAACTTACAACATTCTGGAATGTTTCATAATGAAGTATATTTCATAAGTCATGACAGATGTTTAAATATTGTCTAACTAGAAATGAAAATCAAGCAGCAATATGGACAAAAATTATAATAATCCTTTAAAATATAAAAATTTTCATATACATTATCTTATTTGGTCATCATAATAGGTCTAAGTAGTCAGTTCAAATATTATGATTCCTATTTTATAGTTGACTCACAGAAGTTTAGTGACTTATTTCCAATCATCTAGAGAGCCTATAATACCAGGGGTGCCAAAAAAATGTATACACATGACTTGTATTCATCTTTTATCGGTATATATTGAGTATTACAATTTTAATAGTTTTTTTCCTTTCTTAAAATGTGTATACATTTTTTTGGCACCCTCTGTATATGTCTCTTAAGTCGTTGAGATCAGAGAAAAGGTTCTTGATATGAGAACTAAAGTATTTGAAATATTTGATTGTGAGATAGATCCATGATAGCTTCAATTGCCTCGAGGATTAAGCCTATTTTTAGAATGTAAAAGGATAGGAATTAGGGGGTTGGGTGAGAGGCTTTGAGATGACAAAGGAGGGGTTAGTATAATTAGTGAGAACAATGGAAGGGAAGCTAACTAAGGGGAGGTAAAAAGAGTATTTAGTTAATATTGCTAAGATAGCTAAGTATATATATCACAGAAAGAATTAGATATATAACTCTTATAGATACATAAGAGTTTCATATTAGAGAATGGGTTAGGTACCTAAGTTTTCTGAAATGAGAGTAAGGCTTGTTACCATTAAAGTTGTCTTATGGTAAGGTCCAAGAACTATAGTGCTAGTTTATTTTGTGGTCTTTAAATTCAAAAAGTTCTAGAATTATACCAGAACTTATTAATATACAGAAGTAACCTGGTATATATTAAAGGTAATTCTAAGGGTAGTAACACCTAAATCCCAAATCTCAGTGACTATACACAGAATATAGTTTATTTATGCTCAGTAAGTCCTGGTAATCTTCTAAGTACTCATATGCACTGTTTCAATATTCATAACAAAGCTATGAAATAAAGACTGTTATTACCTTCATTCATATGCCTCAGATGAGGAAACTGAGGCACAGAGTATTCAACTGGCTTGCCCAATCACACAGCTATTAAATGGTAAAGACTCTAAATACATACATACATACATACATACAAATAAATAAATAAATAAATAAATAAATAAATATTCGATCAGCAGCAAGGGGTTTGTGCCACACAATCAGAGACACAGGATGATGGAAACCCTGCCATTTTTAACATGGAATTTACAGTATTACCATGGAGGTCAACATCCAGCTGGAAGATGGAGAAAGAGAAAGAGTGGGACACCTATGGGTCTAGGCTTGGGAATAATGACATCACATCCTTGGGACCCCATTGGCCAGAACTCAGTCACATGGTCACCTTTAACTGTATGGGAGGCTTGGACAATCGTCTAAGCTATATGACCCAGAGGAAAGGGAAATGAGTTTGGTGAACAGCTATGTCACACAGCTTTATTGTGTGTTTGTTGGATGTCATAAACTTTCTCAATATCAAAGATGAGTAAGAATAGAAGATGATAGTTGAACAACATGAAATTCAAAGGAAACAGAAGTGGAAAAGTAGTAGCTTTAAAACCATCTATGGTGAACAAGCATTTTCCTGTTTACGTGGAAAACACGTGGAGTATGTAAGAAATATCCCTAAAATGAGTGCAAGGCAATAAGGTCATTGCATGGAGAGTGAGATTTCAGCTTGATGGATTAGCATAGAGATTGAAGAGATTGCAGATGAAGGATAAGTTTGTTGGCAGGTGAATAAAAGTCCCTAGATATTTCAGTAAAAGGAGTGAGAGAGGGTTCAGTAAGGTTTGCCCATTCATTCAACAAATATTTAGAACCATTTTTGTTGTTTTGTATAAGGATTTTGGGATAGGAGATTAAATAGCAGAATTATGAAGAAAATGGCATTGAACAGTAAGTGGAACGAGGCACAAGGGAAAAGAGGAAATAGAGTTGGGTGAGAGGCGATTATTTTGGGCATGAACCCAGGGATACATCCAGCTATGGTGGACTAGCTTGTATCAGGCCAGTCCTGCACTAGTGATGTCTTAATACGCTACAGAAAAAAATATATATGTAAAATCTATTAGGAGAAATTTAGAATACCTAAGGCAACAAGGATTTCAG